TGGCACTAAAATTAAAGTTCCAAGAAGACAGAGTTGTATCTGTCATGTTCTTTGCTGTCTCCTTAAATCCTAGAACAGTGTTTGTCATACAGCTGGTGCTTAATAAATATGTCTGTGTGGTATATTTATATGCTATCTTATTTTATACTTTGAAGTTTTCCCTAAGAAATTTGTAAAGTAAAAATATTTAATAAAAATGTATAAACTTATGAGAAACAAGTTTTAAATTTCTAAAACAAAATTTATCTGTTAACAGTATTTTTATGCTTCTTACCAAAACTCTACTCAACTCTGCCAAACAACCATTCTTGCTTTTGTAGTTGTGTCTTATTATCATTAGACAAAAGGAGACAGATAATCATAAAACCACCATCGTAGTGTGCCTTTTTTCCTTTTTTTTCAGAATTCCAAATGACACTGTATAATATTGTTTTTCTGAGTCCTCTTAGAAAATAGTGAAAATACAAATGTATATTTAACAAAGAGATATAAAAATAAAATATTTTGAATGGAAAATTATTATCCAAAAACCCAGCTGATATTACAATAAAGGAGAAAATGAGATGGTAGTTGGTGTCCTATACTTTGAAATTCTGGACAGGATCACATTATCTAATCAGCAAGGATTTCTGAGGGCAAAATCTACCAAGGGATTAACTCCCTAAATCTAAAACAATAGGAATGGGGATATAAGTATAATCCTCTCTGAGGCAAACTTTCCTTAGCATTCCTAATCAATAAGAGAGGTGATTTATGGTATAAGTAACTACCCCTCAAACACAGTGAATAAAAAGTAGTAAATTAAAATGTGCATGTTGGTAGTAGAGACTGGAATAAAACTTACCTATCCTTACAAGCAATCTTTCTGGGAGGTTCAGAATGAAAGTATGTGCTGTGAGAAGATAGACTTTTCATGCAATTTGCCAGTGTCTGTCCTGGCAGTATAGGTAAGCCAGTGGTTGGAAATAATTTTATTCTGTGGGCCTATCAAATTATTCAATGCGGTAATCTTAGAGTCACTGAGTCCTACTTTGGTTAAGGAAGGATAGTCTATCCTAGGGAATTGAGGGCTTGCTGCTATATCAACTTGAAGGAAATAAAGACCCAACTTTCCTGGTTTACACCGTGCTATAGTGACACACATGGGCATCATACATTATATCTTCTTTAATATAGTACCAGTAATAATACTTAAGATAGACACTTCCATAAAAATGAGAATTAAAATAACACTAAAAGTAATAAACCTAGTTAAAATATTGTAGATGGGATTAATAGTACTAGTAATATAAATCAGAAGAATGATTAAGAATAATAGTATTACAAAATAATTAAAAGGACCGGAAAACTAAAAGCCTAAAACCAGTTTTAAATCTAGAAAATAAATAAAGCAAAGCAATTGACGTCTAGATTAAAGGATAAAACGCAAAGTTGTTGAAAGTATAAACTTCAAGTCTTGACATTCGAATGCAGAAGCAAGCAGGTAGAAACTATAGAAATTAAGATTACTCCCTTCCATTGTTATCTGAGATTGGACTTTCTTTGAAGGGAGTCTCCAGGCAGATTTCCTAAAGAAAGAGTATTTACTGAAACTCAGGTGAGCTCAGCAGTGGTTAATCTCCCTTAGGAACAGGACTGTCAATTTATTCTCAGCATTTTTGCTTCTCCTTTCCATGGTCTCTTCTCTCTTTGTTTGTGTTCACCCAACCAAGGGTGAAAAGGAACACAGGACACCAGGGGGACTGAGGGTATGGGGCCCAGGGTTACATAACATAATAATATATATGTGGCCAATATAACACATCTTTAAGGGAAGAAGGTAAGGGGGTAGGGAGTGTATTATTTATCTCTTCCTAAATTATGCTTGATAACGAACCATCCCAAAATCTACAGGGTTTTTATGAAGAAAGGATTTATTTTCAGTCCCCTTTGTGGGGCTTCTTTATTGTGATCCAGTTTTAAAGAGTAACCTTTATGTGGGACATGCACATCATCTGGCAGGAAAATGAAAAATATAGAATCATAAAACTCATGAACTTCTCATAAAGCTCATAAAAATCTGAAATGTTATTTGAATTGTGTGAGAGTTGGAAAGACAAAATTAACAGAGTATGATGAGAAATGAAAAGGAGAGTGTTTAGTATTAGGTGGGTACTTGGAACATCCAGATAATGATTAGATGCAAAGAACTTTAAGATACGATGGCACATAGTCAAGTTGTTGGTGAGAAAATCCTTTTATCCAAATAATTTAGACTTAGAGTTGTACACAATAGATAGGCAAACTAGTAATAAAACCTCAAAAAGGAGCTCATGCAAGCCTCAGGGAGAGAAAACCTGAGTCCACAGAGCCCTTAAGTGACAGCTTCAGGTTGTCTTACCTTAACAGTAGTTTACATCAATTTCCCACTTTCTCTTCAGCACAAGAATACCCAAGTGTGTGTAAATTACCTGGAAATAAAACAGTAAAAAGTCTTCACTGATGTCAAGTGCAACTTAAATATGAAATCAATGATCTTTGAGAAAATAATTTCAGCTCAGTTGTGGCTCTTTCAAATAGGGTTCTTTACATAGTAAGAAAAAGACATTTCTTAAATGACCTTAGGGGAAAAAAAGGGTTTATTACAAGGGTATATGTTCTTGAGTACTTAGAAAAATTTGAACTAGGCCTGGGAAGGACTGTTACTGTAGAGCTCAGGCATCACTTTCTTATCACTCATCTCATCTCTCAGTCTTGCTCTTGCTTTCATTCCTTCCCTGTTTCTCTCTCAGAGGTTACACGCCCTCTTTCATTCATCCCTTTTACCATTCACTCTCAACTAGCTTTCTCCACATAATCATCTGGCGTACACCATTTTGGATGTCAGCACTTCCTCTATCTTGGGTTTTTAGTTAAGAGCCTGGCACTGTATACTTTTATCTATAGCTCTTAGTACAAGTTTCCAAAAAGGAAATCTGATTTGCTGAGCTTACTGCTACCTTAGTAGAGCCTGCAGATTGGCAAAAAAATGAATCAATGTCCACTGCAGTCCAAGAACAGGCAACTTTCCTCAACAATCTGAGCAAGAAGGGAACACTGAATGTGCTTGAGTTGCAACAGGTAATAGGGGGTAATAATTATGCAGCAAAGTTCCTGAACTAGGCCTGGGGAAGGAATGCTTTTAACTTTGTTAAAAATAAAGTTTCAACACACAGCAAAGTTTTGTTGTGGTATGAAATCCAGAACATGGTGAGAAAGAAACACGGAAGAGTATTTAAGTATCTGTGCTCTGAAGTCAGACTGCATGATTTGAATCAGAGCTCCACAAACTATACCTAACCTTCTTAAACCCATGAAATGGTGAAATGGTCATGCAGAGAGGGCTTTCTTCACAAGCTGGCTGTGAGAATTAAATGGGGTAATTTATGTGCCAGACACCTAGGGATTATTCAATAAATAGTAAAAACACACAAGAGGGAAAGTTACCCTGTAATAGGGAAGGACCTTTGTTACAAGGTAATCACTAAAGGGATGTTGCCTATAAGCTTAAATTATACATAATGGCCCATCTCTGGGAACCCTGCCTCCCAGGTAATGAGCATTAAACTAAAATACTTTTGTTTAGCTAACAAGAAAACATCCCGACTAGGCCCACCTGTGAATGACTGCAGAGAGGAAGAAATTAACACAGCCTCTCCAGAGGCTGATGGGAACCAGGAAAGGTTCGACTTTTCTCCCTCCCCTTTAGTATAAAAGAAGCCTGAATTCTAACTCAGGCAAGATGGTTCATTGGTACAGGAGTCCACCATCTTCTCGGCCTGCTGGCTTTCTGAATAAAGTCGCTATTCCTTGCCCCAACAGCCCATCTCTTGATTTATTGGCCTGTCCTGGGTCCAGCAGTATGAGTCTGGACTCGGTAACAACCCCTTACCCAGAGGTCAAAGGAAGGAAGCAAGAAAAGCTGAAGACATGAAGACAATCAGAGATGGAAAAAACAAGAAACTGATGGATTTTCTGATCAAATGATTTCAGCCGTCATGGCAAAGAAGATTCCGCCATCTTACGAAATCTCTAGTGATCTTAGCCTGATATGGCCATAATTCCATTACTGAAATACTAAGGGTTAACTTCAGCGATAGTGACCTAGAGCAGAGCAAAGTGAGTGATGCCTTTAAATATTTACATATCATGTAAAATAATAATTATGATATAAACAACAGCAATAAACCTTTATTGAAGGTTTCCTACGTATGACTAAGTGCTTTATATGTATATATTATATGTATTAATCCATTTACTACTTATATCAAACTTAGAAACTTTTATCATTATTTTAGGGAAAAAGAAACTGGGGCACAGAGAGTTTAAATAATTGACCAAAACTGCAAAGTTAGTAAGTAGCTGAGGCAGGGTTTACAGCCTGACATTCTGCAACAGGCAATACATTGCATTGCCTCTCTAATCAAAGGGAATTTCAATAGCCCTCAGGTGTTTTTCATAAATATATTGACAACGTGGATGAAATAATTTGAAGAAAAAATAAACTGCAAAAAGAAAAAAAAGGTTCACTTTATTAAGTAACTACATGATAACAAATATATTTTAAAAATATATAGCTCTGGGGGAAAAAAGTGGTTTTTTCTTTTTAACTGATTACAAAGAATCCTGGAAAGTAAAAGAAATAGTTATGCAAAAATAGTAATTCTGAAATCTTAGTGTAATAGTTATGCAAAAATAGTAATTCTGAAATCTTAGTGTAAGCTGATTCCTTTGTCTGTTTCCTTCATAATTGAAAAGGCTTTTGAATAATTTGGCAAAATTAGCCTAAAAAGAGTTGGAGTGACCTAAACAGGAAGCCTGGCTATTCCCAGCTGTGGGTGATCTCTGAGACCGGCTCTGAGGCTCCTCTTTGCTCCAACAGACGGGAGCGACATTGAGCTGGATAAAAGTCAAATTCTTACCTCGCCCTTTCACTGCTGGCAGGATCAGATTGCATTTCTTTCATTATTCTTCACTCCCCAGTTTCCTGATCTGTTTAAAAGAAGAAGTAGAAAAGATAAATCCTCTCTTCAATGCCTGGAAAGGAAAACAAAATGACCTCAACTCCGCTTTGAAAAAATCTTTCCAAGAACTTTCTTCAGAGATTTTACTCGTGAGTACTTGGCAATATACTTTCTAGCCCATGAGAAGTAACTTTTATTTCTTTTCCTTGGCGGGGGGCGGGGGGAACCAGGGTGCTGAGAGGCAAAGACTTGTAGGGGAGGACCATTGTCTGTAACCCTACAATGAAAATCGACCCTTCTCTGTAAACAAACTCATTGCAATGCTAAACTAAATTCTCAGCATTTTCCATTTAGTTTTAAGCAAATATATATGCAGTATAGGATTATGCTTTTAAGACCATGAATATAAAACGTTGGTGAGATGTAGCCTTGTTTATAATTTTCAGCTTGTAGTGGCAGTTCTTTACTAATTGTGTCTTTAATTGGAGTTTTCTGAAGATTTCTTTTTAACCTTTAAACATTATTTAGTAACATATAAAGAAATATAATAAAGAGACTGGCAGCCTTATGTTTAAAGAAACTTCTTTCATTGCCATTAATTGGTGATATTTAAAATAAGGTATAAACATTAGAATCCTTGTAGTCTAAATATTTCTTGCCAGCATTAACTAATCTCTCTAAGAAAATATTTTACAAGTCTCCAAAAACAAAAGCTCATATTCTAAATATACTAAAATAAGAATAGATAGGATTGCACTATATATAGTACAATTACGTAAATTAAAGCTATAGATTACATACCTATATGATGACCTGTCATATTCTTGTTGCTTATAAAACGATATTAAATTTAGCTTCTGGTAGTAAAGAAAGCACATAGTATAGAAGTACACAACCACAGCACAATAATGAAACAAAAAAAAATTAATTATGGAAAGCACTCGTTTGTATGAGTATTAATGGAAAAATGAGGGTCAAGAGCAGTGCTGTGCAAAAAAAAAAAAAGAAAAGATAAGTAACAGCCACACTGTGACTCAGTGCTCTGGAAATTAGTCACAAATGACTTTGTATAATTGTGATAACATTAAATACAAAGGGCAGAACCCAAGCAGGAAACATACAGCCCAGAGAGTCATATCTTATTATGTGTAAAAGCATAGTATTTACGTCAGAGGTGAAAAATTGTGTCAATTTTGAGATATTGCAAAGTTTTTTAACCTTTCATAAAACATTTTTAGGATTCTTTTATACTCATCATTCTAGTGCATGATTATTTCAAGACATAAATATATACTTAAACTGAAGGGTGAATAATCTCTGAAAATGTATTGGAGCATGAAATTTTAATTTGGGGCCTATGGGTTAATAAAATGGTATAAAATATCCTTAGGGATCAACAGAGTTGGAAAACTATTAATGTAAATACAGATAATTAACATTACAGATGTAAAAGTTTAAAATATTTACTTTTAACAATTTGAATGTTTATATTGGGAAGCAAATTTGTCTTCTTCAGGTAACTATACAGTCTCATTAGAGAGCTTTAATGGCATATATACTACTATTTGGTTCTGTTCTCTATTAGGTATGCTGACTTGTACAAGTTTTGTTTTCTGTTTTTAAAGGTGCAGTCTGATATCTTTAAGCATTTGTTTTATCTCCAATGACTAGATCAAAACCTCTTTGGGAAATGTGGTCCTGTTCAAATGGGTTATGCCATCAGGTAGTGCTTGCTGGTCTGATTGGTTGTCCATAACTCTAGGCTTCATTTGCTTATTGATTGTACAACTGTTTTGCCTAGAATCTTCTACTATAAACAGTATTGCTAAATTTAAAAATAATAATCTATGAAATAGAAAATTGTTTTTGTATTAAACTATAGTTTTCACTAACTTATTCCTTCCTAAGAATTAATTTCCTGATCTTAGTTATCTACATCATTCAAATTCAAAACATAATTGAGGGACTTCCCAGTTGGTGCAGTGGTTAAGAATCTGCCTGCCAATGCAAAGGACATGGGTTCCAGCCCTGGTCTGGGAAAATCTCACATGCCATGGTGCAACTAAGCCCATGCACCACAACTACTGAGGCTGTGCTCTAGAGCCTGCGAGCCACAACTACTGAGCCCACATGCCTAGAGGTGGTACTCCACAACAAGAGAAGCCACCACAATGAGAAGCCTGCGTACCGCAACGAAGAGTAGCCCCACACTCGCTGCAACTGGAGAGGGCCCGCGCACAGCAACAAAAACCCAACGGAGCCAAGAACAGATAAATAAAGTTATAAGAAAAAAAAAACCATTCAATGATAATGATAATTGGACAGATGACAAACTACTAGAGGAAAAAAGCCAAGCTGAAAAGGTTTTGTTTATTCCCAGAACACGTAGCAATCTAACCAAATAGTAGATATGCTATAGATTCTTTAGGAATTGTTGGCTTACTAAATTCACTGTCACAAAATTTTAATACAGATTTCAACTGAATCAAACATCTCTACTTAATAGAAGAAAAAAAAGTAAAATGAACATCCTTGCCAATAAAAAGGGAGGGTGGGACAGGAGAGACAATATGAAAAGGAAAGGGAAGTACTCAGAATAGGGTTTTCAAAAAAATCTTGTTTATTGCTATAAATTAAATAAGTAGAATAATATTGATTAAAATTAGTTAATTATATAAATTTATTTTTGATATGTAGACATGATCTAAAAATTGCATTACAGTCCAACTCATCTATTCTCAATAAAGGCTGTCTTTAGCCACCCTTTTCTTGTTTACCATTTAAAACATGTAACTCAGGAAACTTAATTTGCAGAGCTGTCTTTTTTAAAACAAAAAATACTTTTAAAAAAAGTATTTATTTATTTGGCTGCACCAGGTCTTAGTTGTGGCACGCAGGATCTTTGTTGTGCCGTGCAGGATCCTTAGTTGCAGCATGCAGGATCTAGTTCTCTGACCAGGGATCAAACCCGGGCCCCCTGCATTGGGAGCACAAAGTCTTACCACCAGGGAAGTCCCAAAACAAAAATACTTTTAAATGCATTATATTTTTTTTTATAGAAATATGCCAATACTATAATTATTTGATTGTTACCATCTGCATTCGGAGAAATCTGAATTCAAGACATGGAGTGACTATTGAAGTCCTTGTTTCTGGATATTAAATCTCACCAAAATGAAGAAAGGATGCAAGTGATTCCAGAGAGTTCTTTTTATGCTAGACATCCTCTCTTGGGTCTCTGAGATCCAGTGACTGCTTTCTTGGTGTGATGTATCATCTCTAGGAGCCCAGTCTTCCCATTACCCTTCTCTCCCTGTCTTCACTTCAAGTGGCAGGTGCTGTGTAGAAACAGAGCCTAGGATTCAGCTACCAATAGGATGAGGACACCCTAGTCATTTCCACTTCTTTTCAAAAGCAATAACAAAAAGCACTGGATGCATGTCAAATCTGCTATGTTCATCTCTCTTCAGGCCTTCCTTTGTGATTCTATGCTCTTTCATAGTTGGAACAACCATATTTTTAAATTATTTTAAAAAAAAGAGGTCCATGATCCATACTAGGAGTCCCAGTGCTGCAATATTTCTGTCTCACTTGCTCCACCTGATAGACCACAGGTGCCTGGGGAGACACAGACTTACTGCAAGAAATTCCTAAATCAAAATGTGATGGTAACATTCTCTCTAGACTGAATAAATATTACATGTTGTTGATTAGGCTATTTCAACATCAGGAATGTAAAAGTATCCATCAAGGGCTTCCCTGGTGGCACAGTGGTTGAGAGTCCGCCTGCCGATTCAGGGGACACGGGTTCGTGCCCCAGTCTGGGAAGATCCCACATGCGGCGGAGCGGCTGGGCCCGTGAGCCATGGCCACTGAGCCTGCGCATCCGGAGCCTGTGCTCCGCAATGGGAGAGGCCACAACAGGGAGAGGCCCACGTACCACAAAAAAACCAAAAAACAAAACAAAGTATCCATCAATACAGCACTGATATACTGTGGTGCTTTTATTACCAAGCATAGAGTGCCATTGACCCCCTTCAACTGTACCACACCCTCAATGCCACCACCACCCTGCTGCCAACCTCATTCTGTCTCTCCAATTCATGTTTCTTACCAACATCTATCCCATCCTTGAATCCTGTAATAATCCTGTAATCTAAACATCACCTCATTCCTTACTTCACAAGGCTTAGAAATGGAGTAAATCTCATAAATTGAGTGAGTCTCCAGAATATTGGTAATATTTTTAAAGTTCTTTTAGGAATAAACTTCAAAGTATCCCAGGAAATGAATCAAAATGATTATATCAAAATATCAAACGCTTACTCACTCTTCTATGTGCAACCAATTTCAAATATACTTGACAATAAAATGAATGACCTTCTGATTCATACTACATGAATGATTTTGAAAACATTATTCTAAGTGAAATAAGCCAGACACACACAAAAAAACAAATAGTATATAATTTCACTTACATGGGATATCTACAATAGGCAAATTCATAGAAAAAGAAAGTAGAATAGAGGTTACCAGAGTCTGGAGGAAGGGATAAATGGTGAGTTATTGCTTAATGGATACAAAGTTTCTGTTTGGGGTAATGAAAAATTTTGGAAATAGATAGTGGTGATGATTGCACAAAAATATAAATGTAATTAATGCCACTGAATTGTACACTTAAAAATAATTAAAATTGCAAATTTCATGGTATATCTATTTTACCACAATCAAAAATAATAAAAGAAAAATATTAATATTTTTAGTTTTTTTCTGTTTCAATTTACATAGTTTCTATCATTATATCTTCAAATTTACTTATCTTTTCTTCTATGTCCAATGTGTTTATAATCCCATCTAGTGTATTTTTCATCTCAAATAATGTTGTTTTCATCTCTAGAAACTCAGGTTGAGTCTCTATCTTCTTTTTCTAACACACTCAATATTTTCTCTAGATTCTTGAACATATGAGTGCAATTAAAACTTTGGTTTAAATTTTAGTTTAAAATTTAGTTAAATTTTAGTTTAAAATTTTAGTTTAGTTTATGAATGCAGTTAAAATTTTAGTTTAGTTTGTTAATTCTATTTTCTGTGTCATTTCTGTGTCGTTTGGATTCTTCTCATTATGTTATATTTTACTGTTTTTTGCAGA